TTATTGATCTGCATACAGAAAGTATGAAAGAAAGAAAGAATTCAAAATAAATCTTAAAATAAAAAAATAGAAGAAAAATAAAAAATTATAATGAATTCTTAAAAGAAAAGTGAAAATTTAAAATTTTGGCAAATAACACTCGGAAACACCCCCCCCCCCCCCCCCTTTTTAGATTTTTTAAAAGAGCAACAGAAGATAAAAATTTAAATGAATATTTAAAATCTTCCACTATTTTGACGTTGATTTTTTTAACCTATAATAAATTCTTTGGAAGAAAATAGAATATATGAACAATCCCATATCTCTCCCTTCGCTCATAAAACCAGATACCTTTAACAAAAACAACACTATCGGAGAAGATAAGCATCTTTTAAAATTTGAATTTCTTAAAAAGAAATAGAATTTTCTCTCTCTGCCTCTTAAGAGCCAATCATTAATCACAGTGCAATCATTTATTATTTCTTTATGCTTTCATTCTTATCTTTCCATCCAGGGATGACTTGCGTACTGCTAACATCATTTGTGATTCACCCGAAGGTGTTACCTGCTTGGTCATAGATCGTGAAACCTTCAACCAGCTAATATCGAATTTAGATGAAATCAAACATCGTTACGACGATGAAGGCACCCTGGAGAGAAGAAAGTAAGTAGACTCCTCCTACACCACACACAAACACAATCATAATTAATTTTCCCTTTCCCCCTTTTTACAGGATCAATGAAGAATTCCGCGATGTCAGTCTTACCGATCTGCGTGTCATTGCCACCTTAGGTGTTGGCGGTTTTGGTCGCGTCGAATTGGTACAAATACATGGCGATGCCAGCCGTTCCTTTGCCCTGAAACAAATGAAAAAGGCCCAAATTGTCGAGACCCGTCAACAGCAGCACATCATGTCCGAAAAGGAGATAATGGGCGAGGCCAATTGTCAATTTATTGTTAAGCTCTTTAAAACATTTAAGGATAAGAAATATCTCTACATGTTAATGGAATCCTGTCTGGGCGGTGAACTGTGGACCATCCTGCGTGATAAGGGAAATTTCGATGATTCCACAACTAGATTTTATACGGCATGTGTTGTTGAGGCTTTTGATTATCTGCATTCACGCAATATCATCTATCGCGATTTGAAACCCGAAAATCTCCTCTTGGATGAGAAGGGATATGTTAAATTGGTGGACTTTGGTTTTGCCAAGAAACTGCAATCGGGTCGTAAGACATGGACTTTCTGTGGCACACCCGAATATGTGGCACCAGAAGTCATTTTGAATCGTGGCCATGACATTAGTGCCGACTATTGGTCTTTGGGTGTATTGATGTTTGAATTGTTGACAGGTATGTGTGAACGTGTCTTGGCATTGAAAATGATACTAATTGTTTGTGATTTTTCTTTTAGGTACTCCACCTTTTACCGGTTCGGATCCCATGCGTACCTATAACATTATTCTGAAAGGCATTGATGCCATTGAATTCCCCCGCAACATTACTAGCAATGCCCGCAATCTTATCAAGAAGCTGTGCCGTGACAATCCTGCTGAACGTTTGGGTTATCAGCGTGGCGGCATTAGTGAAATACAAAAGCATAAGTGAGTATCAAAAATCTGTTAACCCACGAAAATTATTTTTCTGTTTTAATACCTGTTGAATGGTACAATATGACATCTATTTTGCTCAGTAGAACATGTTTCTCTGATCTATAATACCATACAATTTTCGGACTCTTTGTCATTAATACAGCCACAGGGGCAACAGCTTTAAATGTATTTTACTTCTGACTCAACCACAAACGAAAGACTAGGTCGTACCTATTTTATTTGATAGTGTTTGCTAGAATTTCAAGATCTATTTGTCGGAGCCACAGCAATAATCAATCGGAAAGACATTTACATCCACCGCCTTAAGATTATAGATAAAGTAATTGTTCGTTTCCGTTTGCAGCCAAGTGCTGCCATTTTTGAGCCAACTCTGATTTGAAAAAAAGAAAGATTCTGAATCCGTTGTCGATTGCCTAAACAAATCTATACTCATTATACTGTCATTAGATTTGAAACAAGTAAAATACTATCAGTCGGATTTGCCGACAGATGTATACCCCAACCTTGAGTTATGATTCTCCAAACTGTTGACTATTTATGGGAGAGGTTCCGAAGCAGTTGGCCTATATTGAGCAATTCGTATCTAACCTAAGACTAATATAAATATTACAACGTGCCAGATTTAGACTATATCGACTACTTCCTATACTATATATGAGATATATGAACATTTTTGGAAAATGTGGAAATATGCCTGAGGTAACAGATGTGGTCGACCAAAGTATTTAATTTTCATACTATCTATGAATATAGACAAAATTATTGGCATGTGCAAAATTTGAAGAAAATAGAATATTTATATCCAATTATATGCGAAATCATAAATTTCGATCAATTACATATTCATATCAGATTTCTGGTTAAGAAAAATATTTAGATATAGCAAGATGTAAAGAATCACCGACTTATTTCGCAGGTTACGACAAATAAAAGTATTGGAAATTGTGACTCTTTGTGGGTGAGTTACCAGAAGGGGTTGGCAGATGTATATCATCTTCACGACAGATCTTGCGCTTTCTTTAAGCGTTTTGTTTTTCAAAATCTTGAATCCTATGTGGGGGAGGTACCAGAAGAAATGGTGCGATCTCTACCATCTTTATAACAGATCTTGTGTTGATGGAAATAGTGAGAAGTGCCAAGGAATCGGATGTCAATTTCTCGTTTTATAAGCTTCATGGATATTCAAAAAATTGACCCTTTGTGGGGGAGATAGCAAAATGAGTCGACCGATATATTCCATCTTCAGACCAGACTTTGGACTAAAAAAATATTGTGATGTGTGTAATTTGAAGACAATAGGACTCTTACATCACCGATTGATATTTCCCATCTCCGAATTCGATCTAAGTTTGATAATAATATTATGATTTACACAGTTTGGATCAAATCGGATACTCATGGTGTAATAAGACAATCAGAAGGTAAAGTAGGTTCGTTCTTATATGCATCCCTAAGGCTTTGTCCGCTTCCTGTCAAATTATCAAATGTTAAATACAAATAGTGTTTACATTTATTTGATGTATTTCCGCATTAAAAAATGCGAAAGATTCAAAGTAAAGGTGAATGAATGCGAATGTCTTGATTTTCTTTCAAAAATATGATGCAAATTTTTCAATATTTCAATGCCCGAAATATCAAACTTCCAAGTCCACCTATTGGAATATACCCTAGATAAGGCATTTTCCTATTATTGATATTTAAAAATTAAAATTTCCAAAGCCACTGGCGAATATTGACATTTTGAGTTCCTGAGACAGAATTACTCCACAGTATCAGAAAAAGTACAAAAAGTACGGACATTGCAATTTTACTTCTTAAACCTTATAGCTATCCTTTTTTATAATTTTTATAATTATTTCAATTCTTATTACCTTAAAGCTCTCCTTAACGTTTTTTTTTTTAATAACTTTACTAATTATATTCCATATATTTTTTTATTTCAGATGGTTTGATGGTTTCTATTGGTGGGGCTTACAAAATCGTACTCTAGAGCCGCCCATCAAGCCCACCGTTAAGGGTGTAACGGATACAACTAATTTCGATAACTATCCACCCGATCCAGAGGGACCACCACCAGATGATGTCACCGGATGGGATAAAGATTTTTAATCGCAGCAATTGTTGAAAAGTGGAAAAGCGCAAAAGAAATCAAAAACGGATTTATTTTTCTAAAGCCATATTCAATTAGGAAATAATATTTCATTTTTTGTAATTTTGTTAAAAACAAACAGCTACTAGAAGAAAGAAAGAAACCAATTTAAATTATAGTCTTCCAAACTACTTTTTGCTCTCCCAAAAAAAAACAAAACAAAAAGAAGGACGGATGCAATAAAAATACGATAAAAAATAATTAATTAATTAGTGTTATGAATACTATTCTAACCCTTCAATGCATATTTTTTTAAATTATTTTTCTTTTGTTTATATTAATTTATGTGTATTTTTGTTGTTGTTACCGTTTTAAAGAACAAAAATAATTGCATATATACAGTTAAATGATGAGAAGGAATTCAGCAGATCTATACCATGATTTCGATTCCCACTCTGTATTGGGTAAGGTTTACTAAAAAACAACAAAATAATTACCGAGTTAAATATTTAATTTTATTGTTTAAGTCTTAATACTTATTTCTTAAAAAGTGTAATGATGAAACCTACAAATAAGCCCAATTCCTATACGACCTATTCAAAATTGAAAAGAAAATCTCACCAAATCCACCGTCTCAATGTCCACCATTAACAATCCCCAAAAACCATTTATGTAAATATGCATTAGAAGGTTATACAAAAATTAAAAAAAAACAAACAAATGGCTTTTTCAATTAGAATTTAAAAAAGAAAAAAATTATAAAAAATATATATTTTTTGATTATTTTTAAATTAAATGAAATATATAAATATCAACTATTGTGTATCTATCTGTTTGTAATTAGAAAGTAATCATGTTTGTAAGAAGAAATTATTTTTACAGATTTTATTTAGTTGTAAAAATAATAATTATAAAGAAGATAATAAAATGTAAAACAACGAATATTTCAAATGGTCCAATGCATTTAGTAAAAGGTTGGGGAAATTCAAATAATGTTACCAACAACTACACATTGGAGAAATTCATTTATAGTTTCCTATGTTATTAGAAGAATGAGCAAAAAAGAAATTCAACGATGTAATGGAAATGTTGACAAGAATTGAGAAATCAATTTACTTGCAATACAGAGTAATATGCATCGAAGGTGGGTGCAGTGAACATTGCAATTAAAATGGAAATTGTAAACACCATCTTCCTCCCCCTTGTTCCCCCGAAGACGTGCTTTTTTGTGAAAACTACAAAATAACATCTTTATCGTTAATGTGTCTTTTTCTCCAAAGGGGTGGGTATATCTTTTATATTCATTCATGGAACAATATTTTTTACATGTGTGTGTCTTGCCTGCAATAAACTTGAAAAAATATGTATCAAAAAACTAACACCGCTCGGTCGATATGAAAGTGAGAGAATAGCAAGAAAGACACGTATTGCAATTTTAGCATTTTTAAAGAACTTCATATTATCTGCATAGCAATATTACTTCATCGTGTGTTGATCGATCGGGAACACCATCACCGTGAACTGTGTTGTCTTTGACTCCGGTGTATTCAAAGTGTTGATGTAGCATTTATTGTTCTTGTTTTTTGTTTCTTAATGTCCATGCGATTTTATTATTCGAATGCAATGAAGTTGTCAACGAGTTTAATTTTATTGGCATTGATTCAAATTTCACTGTGTCCAGTGTTCTTGGTGTGGACGAACCAAATAGTGGAAAATATTAAACGCAACAATCAAAATGTAACGGGTAATAACATAGTTAATTTTCAATAACATTTGATTATGGTAAAACTTAAAAGAACATATAATTATGGTAATAAAAATGTGTGTGAAAATCTTGGGAAAATCGTCTTTATACAATTTTTGTCTGAGTAGTGAAGTTTCATGAAATTGTGATTTTGAACATTTAAAAAAGACAAAATTGAATGTATATGTTTTATTTGAGTTTGAAAAAAAAAATAATTTATTTACAAAAATTAGAAAAACTCTGGCAAAGTTGAAATTTGCTCTGTTCCAGTACCTGCAAAAATCTACTAGTTTTGAAATTTTCTTCGATATCATAAAGGTAAAATCGGTTATCGTAGTGATAACTTTTACATTCTTGCAGTTCTGGAACAGACCAATTACAAGATACAATGTAAACAGAAAAAAAAATAACAATAAAAAAATTAATCTATTCTATAAATTTTATGAGCATATATAAAATTTTGTTTGAATTTAGCATTGAATACTCGAAAAGCTTGAGATTAATTTTTACTTCGAAGTTAATCAATTTTTGAAAATTGCTTAAGATAGTCTCATGCATGATAGTCTCTCTCGCACATGCAGGGATAGTGCTTCTCGTATTTTCAAGTTCGAATTTCACGATTCGACAAAAACTCGGATGTATATTAAAAATTAAATGCCTGTCAAAATTACAATTTATGTTATGTTTCAGAACCTGCAAGAATGTATACACTTTACAACGACACAGGAGTTTTCCTTTATGATTTCGGAAAAATGAAAAATTAGTAGGTTCTTGCAGGTTATGGAACTGCGCCAAATTTTGAACAAATTTTATTATACCCTACTTCTTTAAATAAATGATACAACTTATACGATGTGAAAAAATTATACGATGTGTGAAAAATGTGGTATGAGGTCAAGTCCAAAACAATAAGATATATTTAAAGTCTATAGAGTGAGCACCCATTTGAACTAGGAGGTGCTAAATTTAGCACATTCCGATCTCGGAATAAAAAAATAACTGATTAAAATCAGACGATGCCGTTATATGGGGGATAAAAATAAGGGCCTAAGTTTTATAAATATATGTACACATTTAACATACTTATTGAGAAGTGGATTAAGCATTTTGCATTAAAATTTCCAAGGAAAATATGGTGCATCTGATCGTTATATTGAATTTTAAGTTTAAACTAAACTTATTAATAAACAAAAAACTCTTATTCAAATTACAACGGACAAACATGGATATGTCCATATGCATCTTTAACATTGTGATGTAAATCTAACTTTTTTGCAAATATTTCTCTTGCGCCTTAAAGTATGCTTTAATTTTTCTATTCAATTGGTTAATTTAACATTAAGCGCCAACTATCAACACTATAATATCAACGAAAAATACTTTAACAAAATTTCAAATTAAAAGTCCCACACAAAACATAATTAATTATACCATCGTCCCCATGGATATATGGGTATCATTTGTGCCTAATCGAGATAACTAACATTGAGTCTAAATCCAGTCCGATCTTGGCACCTCGTGACATTGTTCGGTATACTTCTATTGATACCTTCGCCATAAACAGTTAAAAATTTTCTCTTAAAAATAGAAGGAAATACTGATTGAGCTAACATTTCGTAAATCATAATTCACACATTCAAATTAAAAAAAAAAAATTACCTCAAGTAATGCGTTTAGAGTTGTCGATATTTGCCCAACTCAAATTGGAAATATTGATTTACCTTCTCTCGTGACTCTCCCACAAAAGGTGTACATTTTGAATAATAATAACTCACATAAAATATGAAATTAATGCCCTTTTTACTTCAAAATTTGCACATCTCAATATTTCTATAAATACTAGGGCTAGTATGCTACTTCTGGTGCCTTCCCCAAAATCGATCAAAATGTTGAAAAATTTACATCCCAAGTGATGCGAACTGTGTCCAAGACAGAAAATGAAAAGTATAGTTCTACTCTCTTCTACTCCGGTCGCTCTATTGCGTATAAAACATAAATTTCCGATTTTGTCTAAACTCTGCACATCCCAATATTTTAAATGAAATTAGATAATGTGTGTATATAAGATTTACTAATTCTGGTACCTTTGCGCAAAAGCTCAAATATTTCAAAAATGTCAACATTAAGTCTAGATTGAAGATGGCATATTTAGGTTCTAAAGTCTCTCTTAATGGGGCTATACAAAAAAGTCTAATGTGAGGAGTATATATCTGTCAAACCGACTTACAATTTCCATCTAGGTGTTTTGAACTTTTTTGATTGTCTTGAATGAAAAAATAATGAAAGGGGGTTTCCCGTAATCAACGCACCTCTCGGACTAGACTTGACAAAATAAATGTATAATTGTTTTCTGATACAAGATCTTCAGCGTTTAGTAAATATTTGGGTTTTGTAAATCTTTAATCGAGACTAAATGTATGTGTATTTTAAAATGCAGCTCTCGATCGATAAAAGAGACTTATACTTTTTCTACTTATGATATATTTTTTTACCCTCTGCCATACAATTTGTCATTCTGTTTTCAACACCTCGAAATATTCGTCGGAGACCCCAAAAATATATGTATATATTCCTGATCGGAATAAAATTATAAAGTAATTTATTGATGTCCGTCAGTCAGTCTAGAGCTTTGAAATTTGCCACAAAAGTTTATATTATATGCGGGCTGTTTAGTATTGAAAACGGGCTATATTGGTCCACGTTTAGGTATAGCCCCTATATAATGGTACCTCCCGATTTTCGGTTTCTGCAACAATTTCCGACCAAATTAGCTAAAATTAGACAATTGGGGTTCTCTCCTTGCGAAAAATGTCCCATTAAAGACCACTAAGTGGAATACATCCCATATAACGGTACATCCCGATTTTCGGTATTTTTGAGGTTTCTGCCACAATTTCCAACCAAATTAGATGATAATATGGGTTTCGCTTTTTGGGTTATTTTTGTATTTTAATTGAAACGGATTGATATTCTATGTTAAGATACTCTACTCTTTCATGGAACTTAATTTTTTTCATATTAAATCTATTTTATGTCCCTACTGTGCAACCATAAATATATATTTAAAGAAATTATTCAATTGACTGTTCTGTTTCTTTTTTCTTCTTCTTACTTCATTCTTAGCTTGTTTGGAGCCGAAAACACCTGGTCTCTGTCGTGGCAAAATGTTGCGTTACGCATTCGACAATAAATCTGGCAAATGCATAAGTTTCTACTATTCCGGTTGTGGTGCTACGCAAAACAATTTTCTCACCTACGAGGAGTGCCGGCGTGACTGTATGCAGCAATTACGATATTGAATGTTAATGAAATATAAGAGAAGAACTAGAATACTACAACATATATTTATATCCATAAAATACATACTCAAAAGCGAAATAAATTTGGCATTCATTTACATTTAATGTTTATTTGAAGGTATAGCTGGCAAAAAATTTTTTAACTGTTGTTTGAATAAAAAGGACAGTGTGAAAACTACATTCACATTTTGTTTGAAATCTCATAAATTGCATACTTTTATATGTTACTCTCATTGAAAATACAAATTTCCCCTTCCCTTGTCAAATCTCTCTAAAAATCTTCACCTTGTAACAATGAGAGCAAATAGGTAGACGGATGTTGTTGTTAAATGTAAGAAATTTGATGATTTTACACCGAATTGTGTTTCATACATACAGTAATTAGAAACAAAAACCATGTCGAAGTTTTGAAATGAAATAATGAAGGTGAGGTCAGTAGTTAAATTTTAAAACTAAGTAATCCTGTTGATGTTCTCTGCATTCACTTAAATTATTACTAATTGGAGATATTTGGTACATATCCAAAATGCCGATATTATGGTCCGCTTTTATAAAACGGTAATTATTACTTATTTTTCCAGCTCAGACTCTGATCGACTCTGAATTATTGGGCACTTAATACCGTATTGTGTGTTTGTATATTTTTAGATACAGTGATTTTTTGACGATTACTTGTCGACAAAGCCAGTGAATATAAAAATTGGATATCCAAATAAACAGATTGTGCTTAGTAATTAGCATGCTCGTAATTATTTCATTAAATTCAATATGTGAAAGAGATTCGGGGAACTTTTCAACCAAACAAAGTAACAATTAATTGGCACATGCGAAGTATAGTTTCAAACATTTAATAACAAATAAACAAAAAAAAGTATTAAATTCGGCCGGGTGGAACTTTTAATACCCTCCCCTATGAGACTAAGAAAATCTTTAAAAATCAAACTATTGGGATTAAATATTACCATCTTAACTGCAAATGACAGTAAACTCTTTGGGAGAATGCCGTTAAAGTTAACAAAATACCATAAAGTGGATCGTACCGTTATATACCAAAACGTGAACCTATTTAGAAAATTTTCTCCTACGGAGGTTGCTATCTATTGCAAGTCTTAAGTATCAAATTTGAAGCAATTCCGTTAAAAAATGTGGCTTTAATTATGTAAATACTGTATATCGGGAGGTACCTTCCTATGGGAGATATACAAAAACCCGGACATAAAACCAGTAAGGAAAGGCCAATAGTCGAACTGGGCCGATTATATGATACCCTACACCACCATGCGTATTTAATAGTGCTCCCGTAAGAAAAATTTGATGTACTTGCTTCTAAACTGAATTCGGGCGGATGTGCCAAAATTCAGGCTATTTAGACTTATATTGGCCATTTGGTGCACAAAAAACCGAAATCGGATAAAGATATATATGGGAGCTGTATTCAAATCTGAACCGATCTTAACAAAATTTTAAGCACTTATTTCTGAGCTGTATCTGATATCATAAAACACCAAATCGGATGAGACATATATATGGGAGCTATAGCTATATCTGAACCGATTTTCAAATGTGATGTAGACTTAATTCGGCGGTATGTGCCAAAAATTCAGGTCATATTGAACATTTGGTGCACAATCAACCCAAAATATAGATATATGTGTGAGCCGAACAGATGTTTTGTGCAAAATTTCATCTTGATCGGGCTATACATGCTACCTGTACTTTTTTTACAAAAATATATGGACTGACGAATGGACATGCATAAATCGACTTAGAATGTGTCTATCTCGCTCCCTTCTCTATGTTACAACCAAATGCACAGAGACATAATACTCTAACCACAGTGTGGTGTAGGGTATAAAGATCACTTTATGACCGAAAGCCTAGTTCAAATAACATTTTTCAAAAAATTCCTTTCGAAAATTTGGCTACAATCATTAAAACACCGAATATAGAGAGGGCTATATATGAGGGCTAATACATGGACCTAAATAACCCACCTTAGGTCTGAGATGCTGGTATTCATTAAGAACTTCAAATACCAAACAATTCCTTTGGAAAATATGATTGCAACCATCGAAACACCGAATATTGGAAGATACCTTCCTATAGCGGGCCAATATCAAAAGTCCCTCAATCTTTGGGTAAAGAAAATATTTTAACTACAAATACCAGTAAGGCCGTTTGCATAATGCTGTTAAATGTTTCAAAAACCCATAAAGTGGGTGAGTCCGTTATATAGGGGCCATACCAAAACGGGAACGGGAATTATCATCTACCAAATTTTCTTAAATAATAAATTTGAAACAATTTCGTGGGTAAATGTGACTAGGAAAAATATGCCGAATGTTCTGCCACCAGCTAGAACCCATTATGAACTACAAATACCAATTTTTAGACAAATCCGTGGAAAAATGTGGCAAAATCATCAAAATACCGAATATCGGGAGGTACCGTTATATGGGGGCTATACCAAAACGTGGACCTATATTTACTATATATATTCCACCACCGGAACTAGAACCCACTATGATTTAGAAATACCAATTTTTAGACAAATCCGTGCAAAAATAACGAATATCGGTAGGTACCGTTATATGGCGGCTATATCAACACGTGGACGGATATATCTAATTTGCAATACCAACCATTCTAGACACAATACAAATTTTGAAGCTCTACGTCATATAATGTGGGTTGTATCGTGATTTCAACAGACAGACAGATAAACGGAATGACAATGTATAATAAGGACCGATGTACCCCACTTCCAATCCCATAAAAAGCTGTTAAACCCTTATACCTTACTAAATATACCTTGTATTGTATTATGATATAACCTAAAACAATGATTACTACTTTTTCGGGTCTCTTTGAATTTGGGTCAATAACAAAAAATGGCTTGAATTTTCTTTGTCTTATTTTTTATGTCGAGTGCTTAAATGACACTTTTAAAGATTGCCAAAACAATATTTTTATATAAACAAAACGAGTCTTAACCACTTCTTATATTTGCTGCAACACTTCATTGAGAAGTGCAGTGAAATAAATGGGCGTGTTTAAGCTCCTTATCCTCAAGTGGATAGCCAAGGGTATACCCTTGGGTTTTCAAATTATTGGCGATTTTTTGCATCTTGCCATTCATTCATATTATAAAAGGCATTTAAATTTTTCTGGTCAAGTAGCGTCACAGTTTTGCATCTTACCTTACCTTATATCCGATCGGTATCTTCTGCCATGGCTACACCAAAACAAACAACACTATTCAATAGTCAGACAGACAAACAAACAAGTTGCTAATAAGCGATCATTGCCAAAGGCCGTTTGGGCCCTTTTTAACAACTACTTGCTGCCGGAGATGTGTCGTGAGTATAAAAGTAACTCCCCCATCAATTCAGCGATATCATTCTAATTTGTATCTTCTTCCGAAGCAGACACCAAAAACCAATAACTATTTGCAAAATGAAGTTTATGTTGGTCATTCTCAGCATCATTGTTGTAATTTTGGCTTCAGCCAACGCTTTTGACAAAGCAGGTTCGTAGAAAAGGGGATTCACCTGTTGAACAATTTATTTATTACGATTTCATCATCCACAGATTGCTCTCTGCCCAAGGATGTGGGACCCTGTCGCAAAGCGGATTTGTCCTACTATTTCGATACGGAATCGAAATCTTGTCAAACATTCTTCTATGGTGGCTGTCATGGCAATAACAATCGCTTCAATTCCAAAGAAGAGTGTGAAAAGTCATGCCTCTAAGCTAAAGGCGGTAAAAGGCACAAAGGGGGAACTGTAGCCTAAATGTAACCAGTTGCCATTAATTTTTGAATTAAGCATTACATAAATATTTTTTCTTAATGTTATTACGTAGTTGATAAGAGTTTTTTCGGTTTTCATCTATTTTTTTATTTTTTGTTATTCTACATTTTATTAAAAAAAGAAAAAAAGATACCAAAACTAAACTGGTTTTCAGTTTCGCATTTATAGTGGGAATGGGGAGATAGGTTTGATAAATACCCCAGCCACGCGTATTTTAGAATGGCAAAGAACGTTCAGAAGACAATGTGCGGAAATAAAAATAGTCGATATACCTAATTAAATTTTAATGGAGCAGAAAACATTAAGACGAGGCAGGCATCCGAAAACTAGATATATATGAGACAGTCTACAACATAATTGGACGTTAGGTGTAGGCAGACGATTTGATGCCCTACAACAAGATCGTTCTGTGACAAAAAAAGGGAAAGTTAAAGATCGACAGAATAAAAAAAAATCTATAAATTTTAGTTCCCAACTATCTTTACCTAAAATAAATAATTTTTGTTAATGGTTTTTATTCAGTGCCAATCATCTCCCACAATACTCCGATGAGTCATAAAAAAAAAGCAAAATAAAAATGCATCAACAGCAAGCCAAATTTGTTGTTAAAAAGAACTGTTGTCATTAGAAAAAACAAATATTCATCTTTCTACATGACTTGAATTTGTCAGAGAAATATTTTTAGTTTTTTTCTCTTTTTGTTAAGTTAAGACGGAACAAGATTGGCATGCAATATTTAGTCATAAGGTTTGCAACATCATATTTCTGGAATATAATAACCATGTCAGCGTTCACACACACATGGTAAAAGAATACAGGTAGGTGTATCAACGCTTCGGAACATTGAATTGTAACATCTCGAAATATACATTTTAGACCCCTCTTGATCAGCATAAAATTCTATGTCGAAATCTGTGGAAATCATTGAAGCTTCCGAAGGAAATGAAGTAAGTTCATAAAAATTTATTCAAATGTGTATTATGTCTGCAGGACTTTTGGTATTGAAAATGGGCCATGTAGGTCCACGTCTTCGTATAGCCCCCATATAACGGTACCTCCCGATAATAGGTATGATTTTAGCGACAGTATTTACCGGAATTATTTTAAATTTCGTATTTGAAGTTCGTAATGGGTACTACAGTCTATGACAAACATTTTTGTATGTAGCTCCACGTTTTCGTACAGCCTATGACAAAAACTTTCGTAAGCAGGTCTACCCTTCGTCTCCATATAACAGTTTTCATTTAAGTTGTAGTTTCCGGAAGTTGTTTTTGAATGTTTTTATACTTCCAAATTTTGTTGTTGCAAAATGGTCAGGCTTAATCCCTTTATAGTTGTTTTTATAAAAACAACGTTTGTTTATTAGTGGAGAACGATGGTAATGTTTACCAGGGGGTATGGCAGGGAATACCCAGGTTTTGGAAAGAGCCACCAATCCTCCTCAATTCCCTTGTTTTTTGTCTGGGATATTTTCCCCAGAAGTTATTTTAAAAATAACTTCTATGACAAAAAACACTTTTTTACCCAAGTGACAAGATCGTAAGCTCTTCTATTGAGGAACCAAAGAATTAAATAAAACTAAAATTCTTTTGGAAAATCTTATAAATCTTACAACCGCACTTAATAACATTTACATCTTTCTCCACTTATTATGCTTTCGTTCTACCTGAACGAAGTAGCATAACCATGTAAGTTGGTTTTGTCTGGTGGTGGAGGGTATTAAAACTTTTTTTAACGAGAGCAAAATTTACTCCCAAGCAAGATTGCTCGAAGAGTGGAAGCTATTTTTACGAAAATTGAAAAATTAGAGTGGGAGCAATCTCTGAAAATAGAGCAAGAGTTTGCTCTAAGAAAAACATATTTTGTTGTGTGTGTAACAGCAAACCGGTATTGATGTTGATGTGTACTGTAGAAGAGAGGTGTGATCTGTACGGAAAAAAACACATACATATATAGAAATACAACAACGATACGACAAAAGCTAAAAAAAGTACTTAGAAAAAGTATATTCTGCTCGATATCGAACGAGTTTTGCTTCCACTCAAAAAAAAAAATAAGTTTGCTCGATTATTTTTCTGCTCACAGGAGGGATATCGCTCGAATTTGAGTGAGTTTCACTCATTGTTCAAATTCGAACGAGTCTTTCCGATGTTGGATGTTAGAGTTTTTTTAGAAACATCAAACGTTTTTTTACTTAATTTTGAATTTTGACTTTCTACAATATTTGTATAAAAACGAGTAAAATATTCCTTTCTCTCTCAAAAAGTAAGTATTACTGGAAGAGTTCCCCGATACTGTTATTAATGCCCATGATTTTTGTTGAAATCACGAAATACTTTCAATATTTTTGCTAGAATTACCACTTTTTGTACTTCCACCAATTTTCAGTGTAAGTGTAAGTTTTACAGCAGAACCGATTTTACGCATTCAGAACAATTAAAAAGTAATTTAAACAAGATAAAAGAATCTGTCGGTTTGCTGACAGATATATATCCTCAACATTTGGTTTGACCATATGTTGTTTATAAAGAAATGTGTAATGTTTGTCTGTAATGCATAGTGTACTTCGCTAAGTTTTCGTCAATTTTATAGTTTTTCAAAATTTTGGCCTGGGAGCTATTAGGAGTTAATCGATGCTGGCCATTTCTGCAGCTGACTAAATCGTAGTACAAATATTACTATATGCAAATTTAATCTTCATATATCCTTTCTGGTACATGATTTTTTGGTAAATTTTGGACATTTGCAGGAGAAGTACCAGAAGAAGAGAAAACCACATTTTCCAAACATTTGCGGACACATGTGAAAGCAGGGACTTACACAGGGCGCAGATGGCTACCTTTCGGGCAATTATTGTATATTTTATATGGAATTGTTATTTTTTTTTTTTTTTTGCAAGATTAACAAATTCGATTCCTGTGCGATATACACTTTCCAAATCCAAAGCTAGGCAGACAGATAGACATTTTAGCCTATAAAACAAGGCTGGAAACCACTTTCAGTGGTTCATGCTAATATCATGGTTCTATTTTTGAAATTGTTTTTCAGGCGGCTTTTGTTTCTGTGGTTTTGGTTTGGTTCAGAAAAAAACTCTGCACAAGTTTCGACTTTGATGCCGAATTCGGAACGAACTCGAAACAAAATTGTGTGAAATCCAAAACCGGATCGGTTTGGAACAGGTTTGCAGCCCTGCTATAAAATCATGTATTCTCTCTCTAATTTTACATAATTTATCAGGGATTCAATTTTCGTCACTGTGAAGGGTAAAAAGCAATCGACTCAGCAAAACTTAAAGCAATTTGTTTTTATTATTAAAATACAAATCACGGAAATTAATGTTATTATTAACAGCTCATTTAAATTCGGCATGCCTCACAGAAGATGTTCCCCAAAAATGATATATTACTAATTTTTATAATTTATTCGGCGTATTTTAAAATATATCACGGAAAGATGAGCAATTAAAAATATACAAAAAGCTACCAACTCTCTTCAACTTGAGGAGAGTTACAAAAAAAAAAACAATTCAGTTTTCCGGTCAAAGTCGTATTATACCACATAAGTACATATTAAATATTGTCGTTTTTAAAGTCATATTTATTTTAAAGCCCTATTTTATTTTATTAACAATTGATTCTGTAAAAAAAATATGTTATCTCCATTAAAACAATAAAATGCATTTTGGCGTAATTAACTTTTTAATGTTTATGCATTTGCTATAAAATTTGTGTTATTTATATCTCCTAGAAATAGATGAAAACAATCGATTTGCTGCGCACTTTTAATATTCGAACCATTTTTACGACGATGGGTAATACTGCGTAGATTCAAAATGAAATAATATATTTATCGAGAACTGTTTTGAATGTTTTTCTTGAATCTCAAATTGTCACTTCAATGTCACAAAATTAAAAATGCTACAAAAATAAATTAAACAAAATTTGTAAACAGATCTGTGGTTTGATCAAAATCTGAATAAAATTCGTAATGGGTACTACAGCCTAAGACCCGTCTTCTCCTTCTCCATATAACGATACCTCCCAATATATTGTTTTAGCGACATTATTCACCGAAATTGTTTCAAATTTCGTATATAGAGTTCGTAGTGGTTCTATGACAGAAAATTGTCTTTGCAGGTCCATATATCAGTACCCCCCTATCTTCGTTATTTTGACGGTTTTACGTACAATATCCACCGAAATTGTTTGAAATTTCGTGTTTAAAGTTCGTAATATGTACTACAGCCTGCGACAGAAAATTGTCTATGACGGTCCAGGTCTTCGTATAGCTCCGTTTCTATACGGATTCTCCCTATGTTCGGTATTTTGATGATTTTACTTACATTAATCATATGAATATTGTAATGGCTTATGACAAATATTGCCTTTGCAGGTCCATGTTTTCGTATAGACCCCAATATAAGGGCTATATTCGGTATTTTTAAAATTTTAACAAAATTTTTAGCGGATTCCACTTTTTTTTGAAAATTTCCAAATGGGGGAGAGCCCGGCCGAACTTACTGCTTTTTTATTTGTTAAATTAATTATTATCACATATTTTAAGCCCACTAACCAAAGGAACAACGACTAAAATAATAAATTAAATTTTGTCATTATTTTATTTTTAAATATAATCCTTTTCCATAATAAAAAATAAGTTATTCTACAACACATTTCGCTAAAGTGTTTTAAAACTCTTTGATTCTCCTCATGTTGTGGGGCAATTCAAAGTCGAGACAATTGCATCACGTAAGATCACAAGCAAACACATCATTTTTCACATAAACGGATAAAACCACTCTAATGTCTTACTAGATGTGAAAGAAAGGAAAGTAAATAGAGTAGACTATAATAGTTTTAACTAAATTTATTGCACATGTCCTCCCACTTAAAAGTTATAGTAAAGTAAATAACTAAAATGTTAATATACTACACCGAACTATGTGGGTGCATGATATGTGATATTAATTCATGATAAGTACCTCTGAATAATATATTTTAATGCGCATTTTGGAGACGTGATAAAGTAACTGAATAGAA